ACCACTGACCTCTGCGATACTAGTGCAGCGCTCTACCAATTGAGCTAACAAGCCAACTGGGAGCAGGCCGTTAAGTTGATTCGTAATATATGAACTTCATATATTTCATTGTATCTAATAAATAGATAAATAAATGAGATAAAAGATAATCTAGGGGAGAGAAGATCACCTCTCTTCAGGAAGCCCAACGAACAGAGTGCAGAGCGCTGCACTAGTATTGTATCTGATTTATCATCACGGGTTTATTACGAATCAACTTAACGGCCTGCTCCCAGTTGGCTTGTTAGCTCAATTGGTAGAGCGCTGCACTAGTATCGCAGAGGTCAGTGGTTCGAATCCCGTACAGGCCTGATTTTTTTCAGGTCTGATTTTCGCTATTGCATAAATAGCGCTCTCTACTGCGAGGATCGTGCATCATACGTATCTATAACCGCAGTTCAAAATATTTGAACTTTCGTATATTCATTCTATCTGATTTGTCATTACGGGTTTATTACGAATCAACTTAACGACCTGCTCCCAGTTGGCTTCTTAGCTCAATTTGTAGAGCGCTGCACTAGTATCGCAGAGGTCAGTGGTTCGAATCCCGTACAGGCCTGATTTTTTTCAGGTCTGATTTTCGCTATTGCATAAATAGCGCTCTCTACTGCGAGGATCGTGCATCATACGTATCTATAACCGCAGTTCAAAACATATGAACTTTTATATATTCATTCTATAGCTAACATAGGCTGCACTTTAGGTGACACACCTATGGATTCAGGATATCCCAGAGTTTTTTTTAGTTTAAGGTAACTAGCATAGGCTGCACTTTAGGTGGCACACCCATGAGGGCAGTGTAATTTAGTGTTTTATTTAGTTTAAGATAACTAACATAGGCTGCACTTTAGGTGGCACACCCCTGGGTGCCGTGTTATCAAGTGTTTTATTTAGTTAAAGATAGCTAACAGAGGCTGCACTTTAGGTGGCACACCCATGGGTGCAGTGTGACCCAGTGTTTTATCTAGTTAAAGGTAACTAACATAGGCTGCACTTTAGGTGGCACACCCATGGGTGCTGTGTGACCCAGTGTTTTATTTAGTTAAAGATAACTAAAATAGGCTGCACCTTAGGTGGCGCATCCATGGGTGCAGTGGAACCCAGTGTTTTATTTAGTTAAAGTTAACTAACCTAGGCTGCACCTTAGGTGGCACATCCATGGATGCAATGTAACCCAGTGTTTTATTTAGTTAAAGATAACTAACATAGGCTGCACCTTAGGTGGCATACCCATGAGTGCAGTGTAACCTAGTGTTTTATTTAGTTAAAGATAAGTAACATAGGCTGCACCTTAGGTGGCACATCCATGGGTGCAGCGTAACCCGGTGTTTTATCTAGTTATAGGTAAGTAACCTAGCCTGCACTTAAGGTGACACACCCATGGGTGCAATGTAACCCAGTGTTGCTCATGAGTGACTGTAACCCAGTTTTTTCTAGTGAGTGCTGCCCTTAATGATTACAGACATGCAACCGTTCTCTTTACGACGATGAAATTGTTGTGAGGAAACATTTCCTCAAGTAGCATGGTAGCACATTATTGTGTAATGAATGCACTTTTCCAAAGGTTTATTTCTTTTCAAAAGCTTTTTTCGATTCGATTGCACCATGACTATTTCTTTACCGCTACTCCTCTTGCATTGTATTTACTTAAGTGAGTAATTTATACGACAGAAAATGTCCTTCTTTCAATAACAAGGCGGAATGAAACAATTTACACAAAGATATTACCATGAAACATTTTGGTAGGAAATATTAAACTTTTGACCAGCACAGTTATGCCTAATTTTGTTTACCCGCCTAATCGATAAACGAACAAAATTACTCCGATTTTGAGGCAACATTACACTTTTTTGGCAGCGACTGCCGAGAAACTGAATATTCCATGGAATTACACCTAACTACGAAAGATATTTTCTCCCTTCTAACAGTCATTACAAAGCCGTTTTGTCCCCTCAAAATTGGATGTAGTTCACAAATTTAGGGTGATAAATTGATAAAAAAAAAATGATTTAGAATTATGCCGTTGTTTATAGGTTCTTATTCACGTAAACTGGGTCATAAACTTTTCCTCGTGACAGAATCATGGGGAAGAAGTGGTTCTTCATTTTAATAAAGACTTACATAGTACTCCGTAACAAAATCGCGGACATTTTAATAACTAAACTTTAAATGAAACCATTGTAGAATCATTCAGTACTTGACGAGGGAATCCCGCATTAAGGTTAATTCCCACCTTCAGAGGCCGAAAAAGTAGTTTTTTCTTTTATTGGACTAGATTGAAGTTAAACATTTTACCTAACGTTTACAAAAAGAAAAATCTAAAAATCTGAAAAAGCGTCCGACTTATTAAGGAAACGTATTTTGAAATAAAAGTTAATAATTCAGGAAGGTTTCATAATCTCGTAAATGGGCGAACCCCCAGGGGAATATTCGCGGCAATTTCATGTTATTTGCATATTTTGTTACAGTGCGCACTTGACAAAATTCACACATGGAAGTTCTCTGCTAAAAGAAGTCTTTCTCATGGATAAAAAACATAAATCAAAACTAAAGAGGAGTCCTTGCATTTGGGCAAAGGAAAAGAAAACAACAGGCCTATAGAAATGAGAAATGGCACCATTTTGTCAGGAAAAAACGGTCTTGGCATTCCTCTCCACGCTGGCATCCAAATTGCGAACAAAGAGGGCGCCATCAGATCAACATTTGTCGTACATAGGGTTAAAAAAGAAGTTTGCTTTCAATAAGCAAGTACTGGCCTTGATACAAAAACATAGGCAATCGCATGAAATTATGAAAAAACCTTCCTGAGGGAACTCATTTCAGCGATAAGGGTATTCCTTATAGTGTCTGTCAATAACTCGCTCTTTTCGTTCAGTTTTTTTCATCTTCAAAATCTATCCCAAATTCCTTCATAATTATGTAGCTAACTGATCTATTTTCGAAACACAAATGAGCTCGAGATCGGTATAAAACAAAGGCCTGTTGATGTGCAGGAAATTCAATCCTCGTTTTAATGAACTTGCTGACGTGTGCAAGTCGGAGTTGCTTCTCAATCGTTTCTGGTTTGTTTTCATTATGTGACATTCTTCTGTCAGAAGAGCGTCGGGAAAAATACCTCGTAAGGATCATACGCGACAACATCCGCCGCGCCTCGACTAATGCTGAAAAAGCTCCACACAATTCCTTATAATTAAACTATAAGGAATTGTATGGAGCCCTCCGGGATACTTGCAGTGCAAGCCCCGTGTGTCTTCTCATCGGGGCGGGGGAAGTTATTTTATAATCCTGAAAGCTCCGCGATCCTGAGAAATGGATCGAAAAATATTATAAGATATCGAAAGATGGATCGAAAAATACTGATCGAATGGCATCGGATGTTTATTTTGGTTTCTACTACCATGGAAGCTAATGCTGTATGTATTAGTGTTAATTTAAAAATGTTATGAATTAATTCAAAGAACTTTTTTAGGACGCAGAAATAACACCTAGTTACGATGCTAAAATGCTACTGTTTCATCAATACAAAAGAAACTTCCGATATGTCGAGTTACAATTGGTGTTTCAGAATTTATCTGCAATGGTCTCACCTTCTCTCATCTTTAATTGAAAATTCCATGAATAATTTAATCAAAAGGATACGATGTATAACCAAATAAGTATACATAATCTCTTTAAAGCCTTGGTCAAACGGAGCATGATAGTCGATGATAGTTGATTCTCTTCAAGCTATCATCAACTATCACCAACCATCATTCGCATGGTCAAACGGCCAAAAAAAGTTCGTGATTGTTGTTTTAGTATATACTAAAACAGTGAGATAATATACACCACCAAAAATTAATTTTAATTCATACATTCCAGCAACGATTCCAACATTTTCACGCGCGGAAAGGACTGAAACAACAAGCGGCGCAAAAAGTCACATGATACATCAGGTGATCAAAAGAGCGAGAAATTTTCATCGTGAGAGCTACGCATTGCTCAAGCAAAGTGAAAATCGTGGTTTCTGGCATGTTCGGCAAGATCTGTTCCTTAACTGAATCGGTACAAGTTTTATTTTCTGCTGCTATCTCCAAAGCTCACATTGAAATTAAAACTGCAGTTATGGAAGGTGCCTCCTGGAATGAAGCCACGTGCAAGATTCTTTGAGCCGTCTTGAATGGAGTCGAAAACAAGCTGATTTCCACCACCAGAAGTACATGGAATCACTGATGGCAGTTGGCTTGAAGGAGCAGGAGGAGGAACAACAGTTGAATGAGTGACTGCAACAGCGTTATTTTCGTTTCCGGCCGGATCGAAGAACTCGCCGAGCTTGTTTGACATTGTTTTGAACTGCTCGAATGTTGGAGTGTCACAGTAACTCTTTATGCTGGTTTTGCTTTGATGCCCAGTTATTGCATTAATGTATCGACTTTCGATGTTGGCAGCAGATAGAACCGTTACGGTGGTGGCTCTGATTGAGTGGTTTGTCAGGTGTGGGATTATACCAGCTCTTGTTGTCATAAAGCGCAACATATTACAAAGGAAAAAATTGAAGATTCTTATGTTGGGAAATAGTGTGTTTTTTTATTGGTATATTTTTGGTTTATCTTTGGAATAAGTAGATGACATACCAATGTTGGTAAAGTGTTATATATCCCAACATTGGCAAAACAAAAATAAGATGCCAATATTGGTAAAGAGGGATCCAACATTGGTTAAACAAGATAATATACCAGTATTGGTAAAGAGGAAACCAACATTGGTAAAAAAATATGCCAATATTGGTATAGATGAAACCAATGTTGGTAAAAGGTAAATAATTTTCCAATGGTGTGATGGAGGAATCCAACATTGGTAAACAGAAAATAATAAACCAATATTGGTGTGGAGCAATGCAATGTTGGTAAAACAAAAATTATATGCCAATATTGGTATAGAGGAATCCAACTTTGGAACAGAAACAAAATAATATGCCAACATTGGTAAAAGTAATTTTTTATTATGTACCAACAAAGGAAAATTACTAGTTAGTAAGATGGGAAGCAAAGTTTAGTTTCCAACATAGAGAAATATCCTTGATATTTGTGGAAACCATTGTTTTAAAATCTTTGATTAAAATGAGTTACATGCGTATGTATAGCAGTGTGGCACTTATACATTAAAATAAACAATTCCAACATTTTGGAAATATGTTGGTAACTAATAACATGCATTGTAAGTAAAATGCAAACATTTAAACAAAATGTGCTTCAAAAAACACATCTTCCAAGTCTATAAGCTTCGAATTTTAAGCCCTTTAAGGAGGATTTCTCTTACCGACTGATTTAAACCATATACAATATTACTTCCCCTTCAGCAAGATAACTGGGCTATCTACCTTGCGTTTAACACAACATTGGATTTTGACAACAAGTCATTTGTCAATTTAACTGGAACAAGGCATTTATGGTCTCTACATTAAGAAGTATAAAAGACTTCAAAACCACCAGAATAGATTGAAAAAGAAAGCAGTGGTTATTGAATCTGTGTCTCCATTATCATCATACTCCTCTAGGTCTGGATAATTACTCTTAAGTTGATCCTTCTTTTTGCACACAATATCTCTGTTAAGATTCAAGAAGTTAACCTCAACACATTTCACAGGACTTCTGACCTCAATGTAGCCTTGACTGATAAGTGCTTTTGCTATCTTTACAGATAATTGATCTTTTCCCAATGAACGATATTTGACGGTTAATTTCTTGGCTAGAGGATAAAGATGCTTTTCAACTGTAACATCTTGCATTGAATTAACTTCAAGAAAAATTAGAACTACAATAGCAGCACTTTTTGTGGTGATATCTTCCAGGCTTGAACTTGCTTTGCAGCCGCTTACTTTGTCTGCGGGGCCAAAATCTAGTTCATCTATAAAAGGAAGAAAAAACAAAGGCATGTTACTGGACCATGCAATACATTTAATAACCATACGTTTTTAAACTTTATTAATGCATATTTATTCAAGAGACAATTTTCACAAAATATCATTCGTAAGGGATTACATGTACCTTACTCTGCTGTATTACGTGTAGACTCATCAGCCCTAGATCCAGAGCAGGGCTTTTTGGCCCTCTTTGCAGGTGTGTGTTCAGCCTGTTTTCAGTGGAGAAAAGCAATTATTTGAAATCAACAACAATAATGAACGTGTAGAAACCTTAGCAAACCTTGGAGCAGTTTTTGTTAATTAACCATTTTGTGGAAAAGTCTTGAATTGAAAGGACAAAAGGAGAATTGTTTGTGAAGAAATTCTAGCTATGTGGCTGTAGAATGTTACATGCAGCATTTAGAAAGCATCCATGTATTACTCTCAAATGCTTTAGTACCCCTGCAAAAGGTAAAATGTGACTCCAGGCTACCCTCAAATGTTGGCAATAAAGTGCTTGTTATTCTTACAATTTGTATGGGTAGTTAAAAAAATTGTTTGAAAAACATTGTAAACCAAGTTAGCTTCCCAAAAAATCCAGAGAAAATGGTGATGAACACTGCCAGAATATCTGTTCAAAAAATTGTCTCCATAAGTACAACTTAGGGAAAGCAAAATTACCAACAGAAGGTCACAAATTAAATATTGACTTATTAGCCTGCGAGCTCACAGGCTATGACAAAAAGACTTAATTTATTTATTTATTTACTTATTTATTCTTAGGAATATGTAGTTCCAGGAAATTGCGAAGTTACTGGTACATGTAAGCTTATTAAGACTTAAGCTTCAGCTTAGTAAGCTTAAATACCGCAGCTAGTTTTAGCTTACTTGAAAAAAGGGCTGTTCCCTCTTTAAATCCCTGGAAAGTGAGGCAGTTCTTCACGTCCTCCACAGTCCAGCCTGAGTTAATAACACGTAGAAACTACCACGTTACATTTGTGAGAGCAAAACGGACTTGAATTGAAAAGTTAGCTTGTGCAAATTACCAAGAACTATGCAGGATCGATGGTGCGCAATGCAGGTTATTCAGCAGCAGAGTAATGTGACGTATTACTCATTCTGGCTTCTAACAAAACTCACATATATCACATTTCGTCTTCACATGTCCAGGCCATCATTACCGGCTTCCAATTCGCTGCAAGAAGAGCTAGAAGCAAGTGCTTCGGAAGCCATTCTTCCTGCCTATACGAAGTTGGATGAACAACGAAGGCGCGAAACTATTGCGCATTTCGCCTGCGCATAGAGAAGAACTGGCACGAGTTTTGTCCCCAGATCTTTCTCGACATTGAAGAGTGTTTCAGGTTTCAGAGAAACACGAGTACGGAAAAGCGCAGTATTTGTAAATGTTCGAAAAACCCAATAGCGAGGACCTTTACGTCGCCGAAAGGTCAAGCACATGTTCATTGCCCTTGTGAGAAGTGCGAAGATCGAGCGGTTTACCCAATGGTTGCATGGCGTCGTACGCGAAAACGGGTCAGGTATTCTGATGCGAATGTGGATGATACAGATGGTACCAAATTTAGCTTTTCATCACTACTTGCCAAATAAACACCGCATTAACAGTGTAAAGAAACTCCATTCCATTCTTCACAAGGTTCTACAATAATCATTGGCCAGATTGATACAGTGTATGCATGCTTGAATGCTTTCAATAGAATTATAGCTATATTTAATTTCTATCTGTACATGAGTCTAACATTGAATTCAATAATGGTATACCATTGGTACCTAGCTCATGGTATATATATGTGTTTAGGAATTCCAATAACCTTCCATTATTAGTATGTATCTTGCTTGAACTCCCAATCATTATCCAATGAAATGCCAATATTGGCAGACGTTATAGTGAAATGTTCACCTAAGTTGGTATACCATTGTTATCTTATTGGTAAATGTGTTCGGGAATTCCAATAATCTTCCATTATTGGTATGTATCTTGATAGAACTCCCAATCATTATCCAATGAAATACTAATATTGGCAGATGTTACAGTTAGATGTTGATTGAAATTGGTATACCATTGGTATCTTATTGGTAAAGGTGTTCAGGAATTCCAATAATCTTCCATTATTGGTGTGGGTGTTGTTAGGTTTACCAATAATAATTTATTATTATCCAATAAAGTACCTATGTTGACATATCTAAATTTACATTTTTTGGTATATCATTGGTATAATACTGGTAGCCTTAAAAATAACCAATAATATGCCAACGTTGGATTATCATCCCACATATTTACCAATGTTATTCCAACTTGGAATGTTAAATTTTTTCCTGTGTTATCGAGTGTGTTATGGCCAAGTGGAGTCGAGCAGTACCACACAGCATATCTTGCTGGGTTAAACGATTTGCACGGACTTCGCGGTTTCTGGAATAAACTGCTGCACTCGGGATTCTGCACTTCTCGATGAGTTTCACCGGGCAGCGTTTTGAGCTAGGTCTTTGGAATATTTTGCCGTTTGACTCGTCTTCTTTGTCGTCGAGGCCACCTTGGTGGGTTTTGGTCGCCAACACTGCTCCACGCTCTCTGCTCATTTCCAAATATTTTTCACCACTTGGTGTTTCTCTCAAGACGAGCATGTGCCTCTTTAAAAGCTGCTGGTTTTCTCGACCTCGTTTTCCAAGGAACAGACTGATGAAAAACCAGGCTGTTTGTTGCAGTTTGTGTGGTTGGAGTGAGTCCGTGTCAACAAGCTCACCTTCTTCGTAAAGTTTGGCAACGATTTCCTTTGTCAGAGGTTGCTTGTGCATTGTTGGAGCTATTTGACCGCTCTTGCTGAGGGTTTTGAGAAAATTGCTCAGAGATATGTTTGCGTCGTTAAACTGACTGTCTCCAATAATAGAAAATGGCTTGGAAAACGGAGGACTTCTCAAGTGACGATCCAACGCGGCTCGGATCGCGGTAAGTGATTTTTTGTTGTAAAAACTGCCGTCTCGTTTTGTCGCTGACAGATAAAACTTCTGAAGACATTTGTTTTGCTCTGGTGGCGACATTTCTTCAGATGGTGTTGTAAACTCTTTCTGTATTGGAAACCATTCTGTAAAAGATATCATTCAACTTTGATTTTCAAGTGAACAAGTGAGGTTACGCAAGATTAATTTGCATTTGTAAACAAAACCTTTCTCATTGGTTTTTGTCGATAAACTCCGGGTTAAAAACTTAAACCATTACCTTTAAACACGGCTAGACCAAATTTAGTCGCTTTCTTTGTGTTTTCAGGGACTGCGTCGTCGTTAATTTGAGTGATTTCTTCGCTTGTCACGGATGCAAATTGGGACGCCATTTTTTCCCCCCAGTTGCTCGGAGGTAAATAGCAAAGGGATACTGGAGTTTGACTAGCCAATCAGAGCGCGCCTTCAACGCTATCCACTGTTTTAGCTTCACTGGCAGTCGCGCGAGCAAAGTCACGCGAGCAGCTAGTTCCAGACTCTTTCCGCATAAAATGTGAACACTAACATGGCTTCTCGTGAGACAAACAAACTTGTTGAAGTATGAATTTATCACGACGAAAGAGGGCGGCAGCTTGCTTACTAGTAATCGATTCGTTGGAGGAATGTATGGAAGATGAATCTGGAGAGAGTTGGTGGAAGAGAGGACGGACAAGGGAATGGATTTGAAGGAGAAACGAAAGGAGGATGTTGAAATTGGTGGAAGAGTTGCGATTGGAGGATACTGCCGCTTACAAGGAAATGTTGGTTTTCAATATTTTCTTTCTCATTATTATTATCTTGGGTATAAAAACAAATTTCCGAGGCTGAAGCTTAGCCTCGCGAGGAGCTTTTGGCGACTATTTTAAACGATCCCGCCGATTTTCGGGTGAAAACAGCTGACAAAAAATTATCATGAACTATCATACGCGTGGTCAAACGAGAAAAACTATCATGAACTATCATACGCGTGGTCAAACGAGAAAAACTATCATCGACTATCATGAAGAATTTGAACAAGCTCAAAAAGAATGATAGTTGGTGATAGTCGATGATTGTGCATGATAGTTGGTGGTCAAACGGAAGCGCGCGCTTCAACTATCATCGACTATTATCAACTATCATCGACTATCATGCGCCGTTTGACCAGGGCTTAAACACGAAGGCGCGCTATAAAAAGGCATTAGCTCCTCACCCTAATTTTGAATTCACCCAAAAAAACAAAGATGGCGGACGATGAGAAGAACCGCAACGAACACTTAGTATTTGTTATACTCGTCAAAAGCAATAAAACGTACCCAGAAACGGTCGCAAAATATCAATAGAGTTATTTTTCTTTGAGTAGTTTTGTTTGGAGTACAAGCAGTGTTCCAGTGAATTTATGCGCCAATATGCGATACATTCGAGGCCCAATCGAGCAGTGACGCGAACGAAAGAATCGTCATTTCGCTTCGGAGTTGTCTGAGAGAATTTCTCTTAGCGTGAGACCTTTTGTTGAGGTTATTCTATGATTCGACTCGGAAAATGGACAGCTTTCCCCCTCCAGATAAAAAGAAACGTACGAAAATCAACAAACGTGCAAATGCACGGCGAGATCCAGCGGAACGAAACCCACACTTCAGTCTGACAATTGAAGTTAAAAAAGGATCAGCAAAGTCGTTTGGAGGCTATCAAACAAAGGATAAGCAACGCTAAATCGGCTCTTGGTATAGGTAGACAGACTTCTACCATGCAAAATGCTGATTTAATGGAGAGACTTCTCTCGTATTTTGAAATGATTTGTTCATTAGCTGTGGAAAGTAGGTCTTCATCCATCACCAAGACTGATGTGCTCGAAGGACCGAGAATCCATTGTGTGAATTTTGTGGCGAAGATTACAAATAGGCTTCAGCTAGTTTTTCAAGTCAAGGGCACGTTTGTAAGATTGAAGTTCCCTGTGTGCGTAATGACTCAGTTACTTGGCTCAGTTCTGGAGTTTTCGACACCCTGCAAAGTACTACGCCATTGTTAGGTGAGTATAATATGTACATGACCTACTTTGCAAGTAAGCATTATCTAAGAAAAATATCCCAGGAAAGTTTGTCACATATATATATATATGATGAGTTTACATGTACAAGTATATCCTCTTCGATTATGTAAATTATGGCTTTCCATTCTGTTCTCCCATGTTTTGTTTCAAGTAATAAATCTGTATGCTCAGGTGAGTGATACTAAAACATATATATTTGCAGAATGGTTCCTGCATTCACATGTACTGGACTTACTGAAACTCAGTAGTTCAGGAATTGTGCAACAAAAAAGACAATGGCTGATGCAAGGGCAGAAGTTAAAGCTATGCAAGGCTATATTGCAAGTGGGAATGTAAGGTGACATGCAACCAGCTACTTGGTTATTGTGTGTGTTCAGTGTTGTTGAAGTTATTTGCAGTGGGCAAAATTTGAAATAACACCTTATGCAGTGCTAGGTCATTTTGTACCTTCATTCAAGTTACCTTCAATGCTCAGTTTCCTTCCATTCATTTTTTAATTCTAATTACTCTTTCAGTGTATGATAACAGATACCAGACATAACTCCATTCTACAGTGACAGCTATTTCTGAGGTAAGAAATTCCAACTGAACGCAAAGCCCCATGAATTTGATAACTCATGCCTCACTTTTCTGAAAGCCTTTTTCCACTTCTATCATCTTATCAGTCGTCTTTGGGATTTTTGCCTCCCTGCAGTATTTTGGATAAATTGATATAGCCTCCCCTGGCCTGCAGCATTTTTAATAAATTGATAGCTCTCTTTCTCCATTTTGGCTGTTATGATGTGGGATTCCTGTCTTACTAAAAACCATAATATATCAAACATACCCTTGCTTTTAGCATACAACTTAACAAAGGTGGGCCATGACTGTGTCAGATCATTGAAAAATTGGTTTGAGCAAAGAGGCATCAAGAATTCCTTTGACACCTGGCATGGTAAGTATGTATAAAAGTTCATATGTCAATGACTGTGTGGTGCTCTTCAGTTTTGTAATAATTTATTTAATTTGTTACCAGCATGTTATCTAATAATCTAAAGGCATCAAACATAAACAAGACTTTTGGTGTTTGTTCATCAAAAAAAGTAATAAATCATTCAGGACATGACTCGTGTCATGTCATGCATTGAGTGCACTTTACAATTTACAACACATTGGCATTTTTTTCCTCACTGATAAAGTTGTTATTGTTGTAATCTGTCTATGGTCATGATCAATCACAACTTATTATCAAGACTGAATTCATTTGAAAGTAGTGTCTCTTTTTCACATTTGCGTCTATTTTATTCAAGACAGTACTTGTATTTACAGGTATATAATAGTGACGATGCTTGTAGGCTTTGCCATATGCTTTGCCTAGTATGTATTTGGCAGCTTCTAGGTTGTTTGCAGAAGCTCTTAAAATTTCACGATGTAAGGCTACTACTTGTTTGCTTTCCTTTTCAGAGATGATGTAGCTTTGGTCTTGGAATGAGTTTATTGATGATCAAGGATGGTTCAAGGCAAAGTATTATTTCAGTTGCTTTTCCATTTTCTGTTGAAATGACTTCTTTTTTCAGTTGATGCTCATTCAATTCTCTTGAATGATGACATCAGTTTGGATTCATATGCTCAGAAATCTTCGCGACTCAATGAAAATTATTATAAATAGCATCTGTGTACCCTTGCAAAATAAGACCGGAATATTCTGGTTATTTCTAGAAATTTTCTAGAAATATGACAAAATATTTCTGGAAATTTCTAGAATTTACCAGTTTTCTTTTCTGGAAAATTCTAGAACATTCTAGAATGTTAATGAAACATGCTAATTAGGGTAGAGTCAGCCAGAATTTGCCAGCTTATTCCAGAAATCACAAACTAGGATAAAATCAGTTTTTTTTCCAGCTTTTTCCAGCTTATTACTAAATGTAGATTTCTAGAATTTTCTAGGAAATTCTTGCATACTCCATAAAGGAAGCAGTGATTAAATAATGTATCAATTTCCAGCTTTTTCTAGCATATTCCAGATTTTCCAGATTTTCAAGATTTTTTCAACATGTATTCCAGCTTTTTCAGGTGTTTACTTCATGATGGTTCACTCTAATGACTGTTAATAATTTTTACTTGGCATTCAACCATTTCAAAAAATTTATTAGATGTATACAACAAGGCTAAGCCAGTAAATCTTAACAGGTTTTTTGTTGGTAGCGTTCACATGCCCAACAGAAAAAAGAATCACGTTTTTGCCAGCAATAACTTGAACAAATGTTTGAAATTCTTAACAGTAAAAACAAATTATCCAAAATATATGTTACACATTAAAATCTTTTCTTTGTCTCTATGACTATCCTGAACTGAAACTGAAGAATTTAGAAAACATTGTCTTTTTTGATAAAAAAAAACAGGGACAATAAAATCTTCCTCATAGCTTTCTCTGCTCTTTTCCTCTACATTTGGCCTTGTTTTCTTTATTTGCCCTGGCCTTCTTTAGGACCAGGCCAAGGTCCTTTCTCACAGATGACCTTGTAAATGCAGGAAATCCTTTCCTTAACACAATACCTGTAAAAAGGAAAAAGCAAATGAAAGCATTTTAAGTAAAAAGCGTCTTACATTTGAAACTGTATAGTGTAAAACACAAATTATAAACAGGAACTCTGACTTGCTGAAAGAACTTTATTTTTGATCACAGGTTAATTACTGAATTTTAATTGCAGAATTTAAACCAGTAAATAGATGTAGTCAGCTTACATGTGTGCATCCTTGTTGCCACCCAATTCAGATTATCTGATGATTCATTTGGGAGTCTGCAATTGCTCTCTTTGAACAATGTTGCACTCCATTCCATGCAACAAATGGCACAATCTATTAATTGCACCCTCCCAAATGAATCTTTAGGTAATTTTAATTGAGTAACAAAAAGGCTGTAAACACAAACATGTAAGCTCGTTTGCCTATGTTACTTGAAGTGTAAATATAATTGTAGTGGGAAATGTTGACGATTGGACAGTATGTAGTACGACAATATGTATTTGCAGTATTTTGACAACATATGGCCATAGCGATGAGAACTTTTCTTTCAGTTTCTGTTTATGTCTATTGCATATATTTGTTAACAAAAATCAAGGAAATGCAGCCAAGACCTGTGACACAAAACCACATAGTCTACTTAAAGCAGTTTAAAATGTTTTGAATTTTGTGAAGATGTTGGGTTAACTATAAGCCAATTGCCAGCAAAAGATGCTGCTTTTAATCAGGGAGACCAAATGCTTGATAGACCAGGAGATCTGTTTTGTATTTAAGACAGTTTGCACATATAGGGGTGTAGAGATAATTAAAGAAATACATCTTTAAAAATTAACTCACTTTCTAAAATGCTCCGCCTTGATGGACTCAGGCCTGGCCTTGCTGTATAATCTTTGTTGCACTGAAAACCAGTGACTGACGAATTGTGCAGTTCCTCACTTGAGTAAAGCTGCCTTGCTAGTGCCTCCACAGCTGACTTAGCATCAGTAGCATCCTCTATTAACTTGACCAGTTAAACAATATAAACTGTAATTAACAATAAGACTACAAGTCTCAGTTTTGAACATACATGTAAAGTCTGTTGTAATAGACACTCTAAAGATTGCAGTCAAAAACCAACAGAGTTATGCAATTGAGCCAAAAATCACAAATACTTTCTCCATAGGAGCAACTTGGGAAAAATTGTGTTCTATCAGTGAAAGGAATACAGTGGGCCAATCAATCAGATTCACAGATTTTTAAGACAAGAAAGCTGAATGACGACTTAAAAAAAATTTACAAATATCATTTCTTTTGTAAGATACGTGTACCTGTAATATAAGTTTTTTAGGTGTGAATGGAAACAGTTAATGTCATTAAGGTAAAGAAGTCATTTAACATACATGCATCAATGTGGTTTACATGTGCATCTTGAAGTAAAGAAATAAAGGGGGTGTCAGCTCTAAGGAGGCTTGTTCTGGGAGAAAAACAAAATTCTTCCAGGAATCTGAAGATTTCGCCCGGAACTGGGAGACTCAAGAAGATTTCCACGAGACACGATCCAGTGTAACTAAAATTTCATGAACTTTGAGATTGTGTGAGAATGTGTCAAAACCTTCTGGGACAATGTTCTCAATTTACTGGAGGACTTTTATTTACAGATAGTACTGCTCAAACAGTGTATTTTGGCATTGTTCCCCCCCCCTGCTGTGATGAAATACCTTTGTAAGCCCACTGAATCTCTCTTCATTTGGGTCCTCCTTCTCTGCAACTTCATTTTCAATTACCACTTTTCCCTGTTGATAGACAATGCAATGTCTCTCATGTCACAGTTAAAGTGGATGGTCTTTTGCACAGAACTTTGCAAGAATGTATCGCAATGTTCCAATATTGATTGACAGTTTGCCCCAAGCAACTTAGCTTCCAACAACAGCTTAAACTATTTTGCGCTATGAACTTATTGCTGGAAATATGATGTCTATAACAAAAAAATAAGTATTCTTTGAATCTGCTGCTAAGTTATGAAAGTAAGAGAATCAATCAAATTGCCAAATGATTGCATGTCACAATAAATGTACTATGTATGTGTCAATTAGTGAAAAAGACTGACTCAATACAGCTGTACATTTGTCAGACATGTTTGCACAGTTACTACATACCCAGAATAATCTAATTATTAATATCAAAAGCATTGTGGCATCATAAAAACACACATGTATGAATAATACAATTTTTGTTGCCAAAAAAATACTTTAACAAACCTGTGATTTAACTTTTCGGAGTAATAATACAAAGCATATACAAGCTCAACATTACTTTAGATGAATAGCATTGTGAAAGAAACCTGTGCACTACTTGATATTAAAGTCCCAAATAAAGCAAGACCCTTACCTTTCTTTGCTTCCTCTTCAGTTTTTCAAATTCAGCCTCCAAGCTGCAAATTCGTTTATTAAGAGACATTAGCAGAGGCTGACATCCTGAGCATGCAGTAGGTAGACTGCTGAATGATGTCTCCCCTTGTTGCACAACATCTCTTTTTACATGTATGTGGTCACCCATTTCCAGTTGATAGCTGGGATTCATTGCTTGATCTAAATCTGACACATCAAAGTCTGAGCATTGGTGTAAGCTCCTAAAGAATGAAAACTCCTGCTGTGGTGTAGCTTGTTCAAAATGGGGTGATCCAGATGA